TGCCAGAACCATCTCTGTAAGCGAGACTTTATCATGCATTAAAGATTAATTCTGATTGCGCTTCATGAATCTCCTTTTACAGCAAATAGCAGAAGAGAGCCAGATACGAATCGAACTGCAGATGGCTCTGGACAGCAAAGATAGCGACATAGAGCAGCTTCGGTGTCAGCTCCAAACAATACATATTGGCCTAGACAACAGCAGCATATGTGGCCCCGGTGACGTAGAAACGGATGATAGCTTCCCTGGTAAGATTCGTCCTTCTCTTTTTTGGGAAGAAAAAGGAGACATATTACAATTAAGGACTCTCTGTTTTGGGAAGCTACAGTTGGGAATGTCATCCCTTTATCCTTCTGTCGTTAAAATTTTAACCCTTTCTCATCAGGCTACCTTTGAATAAGTCAAAAGTAGGTTATAGTCGTGACCCGACAAATGCGCGCACAATAAAAGCGCGCCGACAAAACCGTGGCGAGAAACCCACGACGTCAAAATCGCACCCACAACAGCGCGCCGACAAAAGTGCGCCGACAGAAGCGCGCCATCAACAAACAACGCGAAAACAACGTAATAAGGGTTAGGGTTATTATGTTGTTTTCGCATTGTTGATGGCGCCCTTCTGTCGGCGCGCTGTTGTGGGCGTGATTTTGACATCAAGGGTTTCTCGCCGCGGGTTTCTCGCCGCGGTTTTGTCGTGCGCGCATTTGTCGGTGAACCGGTTATAGTTCTTATGCAAACCCAGATCTGTTGCATTATTCTATTTCAAAATAAGCAGTTGTGAGGTTTTTTTTAAAAAACTATTTTTCATTAATCCTTTCTGCATTTCCCCCCCCCCTCCTCTTTCTGTTGGGTGCTCAGTTCGTATCACTCAGTCCCACACTTCAGAATCTATGTCTTTTACCTACCAACGCTCTTCCACCTCTGTCAGTATTGCTACTAAACCTTCCAGTTCTTGTGTGTTTCTCAATTCTGATTCTGACTCTGAGGAAGAACCATTGTCTTCTGCACAACCCCCTTCAGAACCTGATGATCCAGGTGACCTTCCAGAAAATGTGTAGTGCCTGAAACGCTGTTGCCTATTTTCCATTACTAACACTGAGGACAGTAGAGACCGAGGAGGATTGTCCCGCATGAGAAAGCAGCAGCAACTAATCTTAATCTTGAATCTTAGATTCTGTGGATGTTGCATTCATGTAGATGCATGAGATATGCATGTTTCCCCTTTATCTGCAGACCCTCTATGCATAGGACTGAAAAAAGTTAAGACTGCAAGGCTTTTTAATAATTTGCTTTATATCGCTATTTAATTAATATAAAAAACAAAAAGGAAAGCATTAAAATAATAGTGATATTGATACATTGACAAAAAAAGTACAAAAAATGTTCTGACCAAAAGTGAAAAATACAACAAAAACATAATATACATTATAACAGTAAACAATTATAATTATATCCTTGGATTGGATTGGATTTATGGATTTATTTCATTTATATGCTGCCCTTTTCCCCGAAGGGGACTCAGGGCGGCTCACAATTCGGTCAGGGAAGGGGGTACAGACGGGGGATAAAAAGACGAACATAACAATACACAATTTAAAAACACACACCAGCCAAACCTTGGGAGGAGGGGGGCAAGAGCTCTTTAGCCCTAGGCCTGTCGGAACAGCCAGGTTTTAAGG